TAAAAATGCCGAGTAAAATTTAAATCCAATTTCATAAATAACTTTTTGAGTTTTTAGCACAAACATATCTTTTTACATTTTCCTCACTTTTTTAACTCCTTTTAACATTCCTTTAATGATTCCATTAAAATTTGGGAAAATCTGCTTGTCAATGATTCATTTTGCTATTGATATCAGGTATTAAATCCAATAAATTTTGAACTAATTGCTATTAAAAAATGGCGGTCCGCTTTTACAGTCAAAATCATAAAATATCGGTAAATATCATGATCTATGTAAAAAGGTACACATTACAACGAATAATAAAAACAGTAATCGTATTTACAAGGCACATGCTTAATGAAGTATCATTTACATTGATATTAATTGATTTTTGATAAGACTTCTATATGCAGATCTTAGGGTACAGCATATGATGATGATCTGCAAACGCAAAAGCTTTCACTTTTAATTTCATTTTCGTTGTCAAATAATAATATGTAAATAAATAAATAACAAATAAAAATAAGTGAAGTATCTTAAATAACGAAAGCACTACAACAGCCAGAACCGATACAATAAAGAAAATTCTACATTTTTCATTCAATTTTCATTTCATTCACGAATTTTTAATTTTTTACCTTAATTCGTTTAAAATAGATCAACGTTCGCAAAATATTAACTATTTATGAAACCCGATGAGCAGAATCGATATACAGTAATGTAGAATATATCAATAATTTTCAAGAGTTGGTATTAATTAATAATAATTAATTAATATATAATTTTCATAGCAGATCATATCATAAAGCGTGCCTAATTTGATTAAGTTTAATTCTTACATTATTTAAAAATTATGGATACATTGTTTCTTGAGCTCCAAATTGACCAGCCTGAGCATATACAAATCTGAGACAACGAAGATATTATCACCCAGACCCTAAACTATTTATTTACACAAATATATTTTATAAATTGAATTAGTGAAATATAAATATTCCATTGATATATATAGGTATATTAGTTACATTATAATTTTTTTTATAGTGAAATAATATTTTCCCGTATTTCTAGTGTTACTAAGTACATTTTGCTCTATTTTCTAAATAACTAGCTGTGTTCCCTCGAATTTTCCTGCGTAAGTTATAGTTTTTGTTACCCGCGAATGTTATAGAATCCCGCAAGTGAAAGAATTCCCAGTATTGTTCAATTGGCCCAGTAATGTCGGATATTATTATTAAAGCTTAAATTAAGAGCTTATTCAATGCAATCATATAACGTTTTTCCTTTTTATAATATTAATATAAATATATGGAACCTTGAATATTGTAGTAATTACACTTTTCCGCCGCTTAAAGTTCTTAATGAGCGGATTTATCTAGTGGTACGATATTAATATCATCGTGATCTTATCACAGCTAACATCTAAGCTCGCGTCTCGAGTGACACAAGCGTAGGCGCTTAAATTGATTACGGATTTCGTCACTTTAATTACAGTATTTAGTTTATTTACGTTTCACAGGCTTGGTTCTATTTGATATAAATCGTTTTTACTTAAAAAAAGTATTTGGAATTCAATTTTTTTAACATACCTTTTGATTGACCTCTGGAACTACCGCTTCACTACTCTTTTTCTTTGCTAATTATTACAAATATCATAAATATATTGCCTTTTTAATTATTTCTAGGAATCGATATTTCAGTTTCAATTTGCACTATATCGTCGAGTGCTGCTGTTTCATTTCCTCTATTGACGTAAGCTTGTTTTGGTATTGTCGAAAACTCTGTTTAATTCTTATAGGTTAAGAGCTCGAGTATATGAAGTTCTTTACATAAATAACTCAAAATACTACTGAAACTAATTAGTCTAAAATAATACATTTAACGGCAGATGTTTTGCAGATCTCGAATTTCTGTCAGCCCTATTATCGAACGCTCTAATTATATTAAACTGGGGACTATTGTGATCGTCTCGGGGGTTTTGGGGAGTCCCGAATTAAGTTATTGTCAAGTTTACTGCAGTAATGTGAGGGGTTAAGATAGTGCGTACGGTTTAACACCGTTTGCTCCTCTAATTAGAAAGGAGGTGCGTGTTGATTTTAAGGTCGAACTTCACGGTTTCTGAACAGATATTTTGAAAACTAAATTGAGTACATCAATGATATAAGGTACTATAAATATACACTTTAAATGGTTAATTGAATAATAATGTCAAATCTACACCCCAGAGAAGTCCATTGCCAGTCAAAACAAATAAAAAACTGACGTTACACATTAATTAAAAAATTTCACAACGATTTTTGTGTATATAGAATATGAACTAAAACTGTTGAGAAGGTAATCTGTTTACTGAGACTTGATTTTGGATCTATTGATCGTCGCATTAATAAAATCCAAACTATTTAAGCTTTGCTAAATTGTGTTTGTAAGTCACAGCAAAACATTAAAAATTTAGACACGTGCCGATATTGTGTATGAAAGAGGAATAATGTAAGAGAGTGTAGTTTGTTTGTGATGGTTGTATTTAAAAGGAGGTAACATAACTTAATAATCACCAACTCTAACTATTGTCAAGTTTATTCCACTAATGGGTAGGGGGTTAAAACCGAGGCCTGCTTTCAACACCCGTAGTTTCTAATTACATTATTCGTGATGAGATATCTAATATAAAGGCTGAGAACATATTTGGAGTTACATAACAGTTATGTTATATTATATTAAATGTTGTATAAAGGAAAAATATCGAAGCCATTGTATTACAACGGAAAAAGGTCGCTGTTGAACTAACGGGTGAAGTTTGAACAAAGTAGATATTATGTACGTCTAACAAAAACGTTTAATTCATTGATTTCTTATATTTTTGGAAAGCGAGAAGTAACATATAGGTTATTCACGTCATATTTTTCTAAATAATTTTAGTCTTGCGTTCCGTTCTAAACATCATTCAATTATTTTCGAAATAATATACGCCGCCGTTAAGTACAAGAATGAGATACAAATTACTGTGTGTATAGCAATAGAATAAAATTCTTTCAATATCAGAACGATGCCGACATATATAAGAAGAGCGTTCAAAAATTAATTTCATTTAAAAATAGCAAGCCAACCGACGCGGTTCACTCACTTCCCATAATTTGTTCGTACGAAATGTGCTTGCGAGCATCCCTTTGTAATAAAGGCCCCGACACGGTAGATTTGACTCCGAATTGTGAATTATACGTATAAGTGTGTATAATATTAACGTATAGAAATGTCAACTATACATTTTATGAATGAAGTCGAGGGGGATTGAAATACATTTGTATGGGACATAAAATTCATCGATTTTTTCTGCGTACACTTCTTTGTTTAGACCTATAATGGATTAAAGTTTTTATCTACTTATACTAGTCTAGTCTAGAGAGCCAAAAATGTACATGCTTGTTTTTCAGAATCAATAGGCTCTAATCGACTAAATAGAATTCTTTTTTTATTTTTGTTCAATATGTAGGCGAAAGATTTATCCAAATAACTTATTTGATTCTATTTCGACCATAGATTTTTTACCGGTATCAACTTTTGTCTTTCCCAGTTTTTTTTTTCAATTTACACTTCTCTTTGGAATACCCAGTTTGTGTTACATATTTGTGAATATTCAATTGTGTTCGAAAAGATTTTACACTCATTAAAATATTTTTTAAACATATATATTAACAGAAATAAACGACTACTTTTTATATTAATAAATACACATACATTGATCATTGATCCCAAATTTAGTAGCTAATAAGGAAATCTGAAACAACGTACGTAACAAAAAACCGATATACAAGACAATAGATACAATTTCATTTTCTACATTGACACTTCATTTTCTTAGATTATTCTTTTATTATACTCTCTTAACGTTTTCTCGTCAATATTAATATTATATGTAACATAAATACGAAAAAGATTAGGTGTAAATATTTCTTCCCCTTATACTTTATCAAATTACTTCCCTATTACATATCATCGCCATATCGATAAACTCGTAAAACATTATTGTTAACACCTGAACTTCTATTAGTCAAATCACAATTAAAATATAACTTCAAAGATCTAAATTTAAACATCAATATTTCAAAGCTGCCACTTTTACGTTAATAAAATAACGAAAGAAACAACTTTTACCAAGTTAATAGTAAAAAAAAGGAATAGGTACACCGATTTTTTTATATATTGTAAATTTTTATCGTGATCATAAATGAAAAAACATTAAAAATGTAACGAAACTTTTTAACAATGAGTCAACGAGCTTCTAAATTTGGAAAGGAAAAAAACGTATAGTAAGGAACAATCCTAAAACGCACTGTGTCGAGTGACAGGGTGATAAGACAAGTGAGCGACCACCGAAATAGCGTTTTGAGAAACGCATTAACTTTTTTTATAAAACTCTAGCTGCCACCCTTTTGTCTTACATTATTATTATGATGGAAATTATCTGTCTTCGATGTTTTTAAAATAAGTAAACTTATATGGCCGCGAGGCATCGAGTTTGTCGTCTTTTCGTCCTAAGGTTTTGTGTAGGTTGTAATATTATAGATCTTTATCCAAAATTAAAAACATGAAAATAAACATGTCAAGAAAAATGTTTCAGTTATGTTACAGTTAAAGTTTTGACAAACAAGCTTCACTGAAAGTTTGCGCTGCCAACCGGAAACGGGCACGGAACAAGTGTATCGGAAACTGAATATAAACATCGAAACTTAACTCACCACTTAAGTGTAACATACAATAAAAACAGTACAACAACAAACGCGCACTTGAAGTGTTATTCGCGTGTTTATTATTAGCTGCAGTGCATATAAACAAGGTTACAGTGAAACGTCGCCCCCGGCGTATCGATGCGTCGACGCGAGCGACGGCCGAGCTTTTAAAAAGCTAACCCGTCCTGTAAGAAAGGGACGGGTGGCGAACACGTGGGAAGCGGATTCCGAACGCACGCACCCCCTCCCGCTCTTATATTTCCCCTCCCCCATTCCTTGCGCCGCGCACACTCTAGTCGCGCGCCGACCGCCGTGTAGGCAACACGCCTAAATAGAACACGCTAATGTCCTTATAGAACCCGCCCTGACGTTGTGCAGTGACCGAGTGGGAACGACGCTGTGATTTGTTTTGAGTGTGACGTCACCGTGTGCAAGTTGTGAACGTTACATAATTGTGTGTTGAGTGCACTATGCGGTTGTTTGCAACGTTATGAATGGTCTGGATCGCTGCTTCTTCGATCAACGTAAGTTTATGTTTTGGCTATACAGATTATGCGGATTGTTTATTGTAAAAATGGTAAATTCGTTCGCACTGCTGTTAATGAAAGTTTTATTCTAGTTTAATGTGACACAATTGAGGCAATATCAATAATTTTAGAATTAGAATTCTCGTTGCGTTAATCACTATCGGAATTAATATATTTGCGATCCTCGGGTCCGGGTTCAAATTAAATTTAGATCAGAGACTTAGGTGCTAACTTTATAAATCAACGAATTATCCTTATTTCGTATTTTTATAGATTATGTAGGGCTATTTTACAAATATTAAACATAAGTAAATAAAAAATACTTAATGACGAAATTTCATAGCTGACGTAAAAACCGAAAAAAAATACAGAAAAGTTCCCAAGAAAACAAATACAACATTAAATTCTTACCAAGTAAAATTACCCTGAAAGCTCCGTACGTAAACGTAAACAAAATAAAATCGGAACAAGGAAACGACAGCGTTGAGAATAAGAGAGTGAAATCGTCGGGTATACGAACCAATCCGCAATAATAATACGAATCACTGAACTTGACACTATAAGAATCCACATAATAGCTCTTTTGAAACGGTCATCTCTATAGAAAGTTTGTTACAAACATCTATGTATGTTTCAGATAAGCAACTCAAAGTAGACGTTAAAGACTTTAATGATACAAACGGCTTTATTGAAAATAACTGGGATACGAACGGGACTGATAAATAAATTGATGATGATTTGTTCCATTAAGACTGTAAAGGGCCAGTCGTGCAACGATTTGTTGGACGAATCATTGAAATTAATTGAGTAAATGTGGGTGAGAAGTAGTAAATATTTGATGTAAATTATGATTACGCTTTAAAACATATAATTGCATTACGGAAATACATACATTATGTATTTTAGATCAAAAGTCGTGATTTGACATTACGCACTTTTTAACAAAATTCGTGTTATAAATTTACATTTAAATCAGCACTCTGATAAATTTTATTTTTAACAGAAGTTATTTTATTAAAAAGTTTTCACGGTACTACTTAAACTAAACAAATTTGAACAAATAGTAAACAAACACACATTACCCGGCTCTTGTATAATATTTGAAGGTGTAAAAGCAATACTTACATTGATAGATATTATTTATATAAGATGAGAACATAACTTTCGTTAATTTATCAAATTAATGCATTTTATCTTTAAACAAATTGTGTTATTTTCTAATAATTAACTAGAAACATAACAGCCACGATATCATCATTACGACAAATTATTTTCCTTATTTACAAATAAACAAGCATTAGATAGCTGTTTGTTGAACCATTGATTTTTACAAATAAACATTACGACGTAAACACAAAAGTATAGTGTTCTACAGAAAATTTATTGGCCATAAATTTGTTTTAAAATAATGTAGTACTATTTTACGTCATTGGATATAAGACCGTAATCGATAGCCTATAAAGAATCAACAAATCACACCTTGTTGTCCCAACACCTCCGTGTTAAACAAACATAAATCTCAAAATTGTGAGCAAATAATAAGAGTAAAAAAATATTTAAATAGTCCAACCGCATCGGACCACCCGTGCGATCCGGCCGACTCCATATGAAGCACGCACGTTCCCATTATATAGTGAAAAGACACTCGGACCCACCCATTTTATTCAGTTTTTACGTAATTTACATGTATACTATCCTCTTTAATCGTTTTATTGTGATGATGTTCTGTTTGGACCGAATCTTGACAAACAAAAATGCTGCGTCACAGAACCTTTGTTGCCACACTATCCTGTTTTCAATACAATTCATCTTATCGATTGCATTATCCGCTACCGGTTACAAAAATGTTTTTGTCCATTGTGTTCTTCTATGACAGGTTCGATGCTGTCAATCAAATGGGTTACAATTTTTATTGTTTATTGTAAATTGAAAAATATTTTCAATCGAACTAACCTTTTAGATAATTTAGGAATGTAGCAGTACCCTTGCTTCGAGTACATTATACAACGTACAAGTTTAACTCTTTACAAAATTCTTTCATGTTTCACAGTTCAACTCTTGCTAAAGTGCCATCGCTTAGATTCGTGTAGTGATACTGTTCGAAACGCCTGGGGTGGCATGTTTAACTTTCTGAGTGACTCCTACAAACCTGCATTGAATCTTAACTATTTCCCCTAAAAGTTTCCGGTTAATTTAACACGAGGCCGACATATGCATTCAAACGGCACTCAAAAAGACAACACAACGGAACTCCCACGTGTACCAAACAAATAGACATTCCCAGAAAACAATTGTCATCATTAACAAAAACACAGGTCCAATAATTGCCTACACGATTACAACATGTTCTATTCTCTCTCCAACAATAATTAAGGAACCTGATGTTATGCCCAAAGACGTAATGGAAGCTAATAATTAAAGGTCTTTCGATACGGTCGGCGGGATCGAAAAAACGATCGACAGGGTTACTTTTACGGCGGCCAATAAAAGAGTTATGGTTAGGTAAACGATGAAACCTTAAAATGGTATAAAACAAAATACTTTCGCTCATTGTTTGATGCGTTAACTGTGATCGTAAACCGGAGACAAATTGGTTTTAAAGGACCCCCCGGCTGAGCTTATGGCGGTTTTTTTATGAGCTTTATTGCAATTCTCTCTTGCACGATTGTTGTATTACGTATATATTATATTTACCGAGTGCCACTTTCGGTGAAGTTGCATTTCCTATTATGGAATCAAGTAATATCCCATTTTAGCCACGTCTGCCGCAGACAGGATTTTGCAATTGTGAAAATGAATGCTGTTTGCCCATCCAAGTTTGTGTCGTAAGTAAAAAATATTGATTTAAGATTGTAGGTCAACAACTTTTGTAGTAATCATTTATTTTGTCTTTTAACCCAATCAATATAAATCATTTTAAGATATGCATAAAAAGGATGGTTTGTAATTTGTTGACCTGAATGTGTCAGCTACTTTTTATCTGGCACAAGTCGCTAAATTCATTTGAGATATACATAGGTTTCACTTATACCTTTATTCAGGTAATTGGCGATCAACACGTCATATGTAAAGCGGTTTGCATCATTTCGTTAGTAACAAATATTGGATCTACATTTAATAAGTTGTTAAAGTTGCTCGATTTAATCTAATGTTGTATTATATCCAAAGCTCTACTTTACTTTTATGGGACCAAAACATTATTGTAATATATGTATGCTGTTTTATGTATGCATTATTATAATATGTATGATTTGATTATGCTAACAAGACATTTTTAATTCTGCTTATAATAATATTAAACAAAGGAATCATCTAACATAAAATCATTATTATTCTAAATTCTTTGTACTTTATAGATTATTTTAGATACACATACGACTGAAGCGCTAATTCGGTAGCATTAGCGCAGTATTATGCAGCATTCAAAGGATTAATACATGGCTAATGCAGTGTAGTGATGGCTCGTTAATAAGCAATAATTATGAACCAGATAACGATATTACTAAATACGGAAAGCCGGTAGAGCAATCTTGTGAAATTGGGCTGAATGTTAATCAGTTTTTTTTATTTGAGTCCGTGATAATAGTGAACAAGTTGTCATAATGCACAATAGATAATAATATGAATGGTAAATAAAAAATGGAGCAAGTGTACATGTTTGTTTTAGAATATTTAAATACTATATAATGAGAAGAACATTACAAAATATTATTATAATAAACATATTAATATCGTGAAGTACTACGACCATTATTTCTTCTTCATCTTAATACTCCAACTAGTTGAGGTTGGCAGTCAGCTTCTGTTATTACGTATTTCGCTTTGCTCAAGACAGAACAGTCTTGAGCAAGGCGAAAGGGATCGAACCATATATTGATAAATATAAAAAATATGCTATTTTCAATAATTAGTTTATAATTTTAATATATGGTGATTTTTCTGAATCGCCATCGCCAAACACATGACGAAATTACGTCGCTAATCTAGTGGTATCGCTATTATGGTGATCATTAACTATGTTAATAGACTTTATCATACTAATTAAAAGTATACATATGCATTAGGATCGTTTATATTCATATCTTCATAAACTTTATAATTTATATAACTAAAAGGAATTAATGACGTAAGTAACTAAACGAAATACTTAGTCCTGGATTCTTAGCACACACATAGACATCTGAATTTGGTTTTGACCTTAATCTTATTTTGAAGTTTTGATTAGGAATTATTTAAGCAGGTCATTTACAACTCTTTAATATATTAACGTTGATATTTTTTATTTTGGGACAATCGTGAAAATGAACTTGGATTTGAGCAACTGATTGATTCCGATGCCACGTTCACTAGCTACGTTTAGGAATTAAAAAAGTAATTGTATTACTTTATATTTATCCTGATACTATTATTAACTATTACTTTTACATGAACATTAGTATGGTTATTACTTTACGACGTAAAGATTTTACGACGTAAGGGTTTTTATTTATCTCTAAACGACTCCTCTAGAATAAAACTTGCATAGAAAAGAAGGTGAGTCTCTCACTGTATACTATAGGTATGTATACCCAGTACTGTATGTGTGAATATAACTAATAAATTAAAATCTTGAAGCACTTGACATAACATTTACGACATTGAAATTAATTTAAAAGCTCTTCGATATATGTTAAATATAATATATATTAAATTCAATTAGCATAATCACTTTTCAAGTGTTTTACTAATAATCCTAAAAATAGTTTATTCGTGCTAAAAAGGTATTATAGACACGCAATTCTTACCCCGAAACCTTATTAAATTACTGTCGGAATAAAATGTATACACCTACATTTTATGCCTGATACTTTCATTGGAAATATACCAAGGTGGTACCCACATTGTTAACATGTGCTTCAATGAATATATGAATACAGCATAATTCTAAATTGGTATGTTTCAATTTTCCGGTACAATAGCTATGTGAATCGCTAATACCGTGTTATCATATTCCTATA